GATGCAGCTCCAACGACGCCCACGCGCGTCTCTCACGCCCCAGCAGCTTCGTGAGTGGTACGCTCAGAGTAGAGGGTCTCTCAGTTCTGTTCGCTGCTCTTACGTGATTCGCACCGGTGCTCAGACTGGTCAGCCTTGTGGGACGCCTAGTCACACACCGTCCCGCTGCTTTGCCCGTCTGAGCGACGCCTGGCGTACCGTGTTTGGCGACGAGGCTGAGCTCCCCGACTGGGTGGAGTTGCTTAGGCAGAGGGTAGATATATTTGCTCTTGACTATGATGCTATTCTCACTGCCATGTATGCATTGCCTACTAGTGCTGACCGTGCCGGTCACCTGTGCGTACCGCCTGACCCGGGTATAGATCCTGCTGCTCTAGCTGCTGGTACGGCTGCTGCTCTCGGTGCTAGTGTGTCTCCTGCTCCAGGTACAGGTGCGGCTGCTGCTCTAGGTGCTAGTGAGTCTGCTTCTTCAGGTGCGGGTGAGTCTGCTCTCTCAGGTACCGCGTCGGCTCCGGCCTCTCACACATTCACCCTTGACTCGGGGGCTTCCCGCTCCTTCTTTCGAGACTGCACCACACTCACGCCGCTTGGTCGGCCAGTTGCAGTCTCTCTGGCAGACCCCTCTGGGGGCCCTGTCCTTGCTCACTTCTCCACTGTCCTCCCGTGTCCGGCGGCCCCCTCTGGCACCCTCTCTGGTCTTTACCTCCCCTCGTTCTCTACGAACTTGGTGAGTGGTGCTGACCTGCAGGATGCGGGGGTTCACCAGTTCACTCCTGCGAGTCAGTGGGTGACCCACTGCACGGACGCTCGGACAGGCCGACACCTGGCCACGTTTACTCGTCGGCCGGGGTCGAGCCTGTACACACTGACCACTGCGTCTCCTCCAGTTGCTGAGCCTGGTAGGGTAGCTGCGTCGGGTCAGGTCTTTGCTGCAGCGTCCAGGTCTGGTCCTGAGTCTGCCCCCTATTCGTGTCGTCTCCTGTCTCACGAGACTCTCCTCTGGCACCACCGCCTTGGTCACCTCTCTCTGCTTCGGCTCAGAGGCATGGCCTCTCGTCTTCTTGTTTCTGGTCTTCCCCGGTCCCTCCCTCCCCTTCCTCAGGGCCCTGGCCCTACCTGTGTCCCCTGTGTCGAGGGGCGCCAGTGTGCTGCCCCTCACTCCTCCCAGTTTCCTCCGACAGAGGCCCCGTTGCAGACGCTTCACATGGACGTGTGGGGCCCAGCCCGCGTCCGTGGACAGGATCACGAGCGCTACTTCCTGCTCGTTGTTGACGACTACTCGCGTTACACCGCAGTCTTCCCCTTGCGCAGCAAGGGTGATGTCACTGAGGTGCTGATCGACTGGATCCGCGCAGCTCGTCTCCAGCTCAGGCAGAGCTTTGGCTCGGACTTTCCTGTTCTGCGTCTGCACTCGGACAGAGGCGGAGAGTTTTCCTCTGGCCTTCTGAGAGCCTACAGTCGCGCACGGGGCACCTGTCAGACCTTCACGCTTCCGGACTCTCCGCAGCAAAATGGGATTGCTGAGCGCCGCATTGGCATGGTCATGGACGTCGCTCGTACGTCTATGATGCATGCGGCTGCCCCCCATTTTCTGTGGCCGTTTGCGGTCAGGTACGCGGCGCATCAGATCAACCTTCACCCCAGGGTCTCCAGGCCGGAGACCTCCCCAGCCTTGCTGTGGACGGGGAAGGTTGGCGATGCGTCGGCGTTCCGGGTCTGGGGATCTCGGGCGTTTGTCCGCGACTTGTCTGCGGACAAGCTGTCCCCTCGTGCTGCTCCTTGTGTCTTCCTGGGGTTCCCCCCTGACGCTCCTAGGTGGCAGTTCTACCACCCCACCTCTCGTGGTGTTCTGTCCTCCCAGGACGTCACGTTCGACGAGTCGGTCCCCTACTACCGCCTCTTCCCCTACCGCACTCCGTCCCTCCCCCCGCCCCCGCTCTTCCTTGTACCACGTCCCCCCTAGGTAGACCCCCTCCCCCCTCAGGGTCCTGCCCCTTCAGGTGTGTCCCAGGTAGACGCAGTCGAGCCTGTCGAGGTCACTGGTGACTCTGGTGCTGCTGAGGGTGCTGAGCGTGGAGGTGCTGTGCCTGGGGGTGCTGAGCCTGGGGGTGCTACGCCTGGGGGTGCTGAGCCTTGGGGTGCTGAGCCTAGGGGTGCTGAGCCTGGGGGTGCTGAGCCTGGAGGTGCTCCGCCTGGAGGTTCTCCGGGTGCTACGTCTCGCCGGGAGCCACTCTCTCCACAGGAGCTGCGCGAGTGGTTTGCCCGCCGCGCTAGACGAGCTCTCGAAGACTCTTGACCGAGATGACTACACCTTGAAGGCCCCATGGTTTAATCTTCTCGAGCGACGTTGGGGGCCGCACTCTATAGATCTCTTTGCAAGTGCTGCGAATGCCAAGCTCCCTCGATTCTACTGCGAAAAGGCATTAGCGATCAATGCCTTCGCAACATCCTGGGCTGACGAACATGGTTTCGCTTTTCCACCACCACAATTGATCCCGGTAGTCCTTCACCACGCACAAAGGACATAAGCCTCACTGACACTCATTGTTCCCTTCTGGCCCGGGGCTAGTTGGTGGCCACTTCTCCAACCCTCGCCACCCGTCTGGGCCTCGCCGATCCGTGATTGCCCGCCTGGGCCTCGCCGATCCGTGATTGCGTGAAACTTACTCACGAAAGTCAATGCCTTGCACCGGGCAAGCACACCACAACATTCTCAGGTTCCGGCCTCCCCCATAGCATGATGATGGCCTTGCGCATCTCCTTCCGTTAACATATTTGCTTACGTCCTCTCTAATCGCTTCAGGATTACTCCGCTCGCTGCAAAGCCAATTGCTCACAATGATGCTGCAAACGCGTGCAGAATCTACGATCAAGATTTACGAACCATACTAGCAGCAATTCCGCTCATTCCGCATAAAGACTAAATTACCATTCCTGCCTGCACAAGATATGACACTTGCGCTGTACCTCGTCTACGCCATTCGCCACCAAGCCACCTTCTCAGTGGTGCAACTCACTTGCTCGGCGGTTGGTTTTGCCCACCGCATGATTGGGCCCCCCTGCCCTACCATCGGCCCAATGACATCTCAAGTCCGAGAATTTGCCAAACGCCACTGCCCTCGGCCCCACCGAACCAAAGAACCAGTGTCTCTTCACCAAGTGCACGCCATGGCCGCACACTTCATTAGCTCGGACGACCCATCCACCTTTCAAAAAGGACTCGTACCGCTTCTCATGTACGCCGGCTTCCTTCGGTATTCGGATCTCGTCGCCATCGGCTGGAACGATATCCAGTTTGAAGACAGTGCCATGTGGCTACTCATCCTGCGCTCGAAGACCGACCAAGAGGGGAAGGGCTCATGGGTGCCTATTGCTGCAAGCCAGGGACCCTTCTGCCTTGTTCGATGCACCAAGCGCTTCATCCAACTGGCAGGATATGGTCCTGCCACACCAGGGCCATTAATCCGAGTGTTTGGTTTGGCCACAAGCGACTCACTCCCAGTCAAACCACCATCGTATACCACAATACGCAATTGGTGCAAGGAAGCTTTCCACGCCGTCGGCCTCGGCGACCACGCGCTCGGCACCCACTCCTTTCGCAAAGGAGCATCAACTGTAGCGGCAAACGCAGGAATCGAGGACCGGCTCTTCAAACAGCTAGGCTATGGCGCAGTGAAGCGGCCAAGGAAATGTATGTCACCCCCACCGCCGACCGTTTGATTGACGCCTCTCGCAACCTCCAATCAACGGCTCATGCGCCATTACCAGCACAACATTCCAGGGCCCTCAAGCGCCGCCGTCACGCCCCCTTGCACATGTCTCAGCGTCACCCATTGTAATGAGAACGATGACAATTGCTACATAAGCAAGCTTTCTCAATATGAAAAACTTCTAAGCGTTTATCGCTTTCAAATTTGCGTATTGTGAAAGCGAAGCTGATTGTAACGCAATTTCGCGCATCGTCGAAGCGCGGTATTCGCCTTCTCCGAATATATAATGTGGGCTGGGGTCATTCTTCCCCCACCCACGTCTCTCATTTTTACAATCGCTCAAGTTCAATTCCCACCCACCCTCCCCATGCTAGTCATCTTCAGAGAGTAGTAGTTCTTAGACATTTTGAATGTGATAGTATATTATTATTATTGCTAGGAACCATTGTACTTGAGCACCATTGTAATGAGAACGATGCCAATTGCTACAGAAGCAAGCTTTCTCAATAGTGAGATTCAATCATCAGAATGTTAGAACTGCTTAGATTAAAGCCGGCGGCCCAAATTGTTCATGCTTTTAAAAGTTGTCCGAAGGGAGTTTTTCTGGTGTGGGCTTTGGCGAGAGTTTCCAATTTCGTATTGGTTCGTTTTTTTCGCGAGACCTAGCCAACCCTCGGTTTTCCACCCAGTGAATCTGTCTTCGAAAGTCCCAAATTGCAAGTGCGTGACTCTCAAAAGCTTGGACACTCAACTTCGTCAAGTTTTTAAAACTTGACCCTCGCGGTCCGCAATTTGGGATGCGGGCTTTAAGCCCGAGTCTAGAATGGTAAGGGTTCAACTTCAAGATTCTTGAACTTGAGTTCGTCCAGAACAGGGTAACCAGGTTGAGAAAGCTTCTCCCTCGCGACCCACCAAGAAGGGAGTTGGTGGGCCAGAAGGTGATTGGCCAAATGCTCCACAGCAAAAACAGCGACGAGCCTCGCAAGAACTAGTATCACTGTTCACATTTTCAAAACTTGAAACTCGAGACTCGTAGCATAGTGGGCTCCATAGCCCTAGTTCTCGTCGTTAGCCAAGCATAGTTACGCCCATCTCCGTACTATGCTAAGACTTTAGTAGCACATAGAGACGGAACATCCCGTCGACTTTTCCGCACATAGCAAGTACGATCTGGTAGCCAACAGCAAATACAGAATGCCGCCTCGATTGATCGCCATCATTAGAATCACTCGTCGCCACTGACGGTTATATCGCGTTAGCCGACACTCGCATAGCCAATAGAAATCGGCTATGACATCTCGACAGTCACTCCCGTCTCACACTCAATCCCGTCCGTCACTCAATCTTGTCGTTCACAGACTGCTGTCGCTCATCTGCTTCCGTCATCCACACTCGCCGGAGGCACATATCACTCACTCAATCCCGTCACTCACTCACACCCGTCGCTCACTCACTCCCATCGCCCACTCACACCCGTCGCTCACACACTCCCGTCGCTCACTAACTCCCATCGCTCACTCAATCCCGTCGCTCACACACTCACTCCTGTTCCGCCTTCACTCCCATCGCGCTCTCACTCCCGTCGCGCTCTCACTCCCGTCGCGCTCTCACTCCCGTCGCGCTCTCACTCTCGTCGCGCTCTCACTCCCGTCATCCACACACGTCGCAGGCACATGTCACCCACACGCGCCATACACGACTCAATCACACATGTCCCTCTCCCATCCCTCCTCCAGTCCCTCTCTTCTCCTCTCCTCCCTTGCCTCTTCCTTTCCCTACGCGATGCTCCCTCTTCCCGACGCGATGCTCCCTCTTTCTTACGCGATGCTCCCCCTTCCCTACGCGATGCAACCCTTTCCTTACGCGCTGCTCCCCCTTCCCTACCGCTGCTCCCCCTTCCCTACCGCTGCTCCCCTTTCCGTACGCGCTGTTCCCCCTTCCCTACGCGCTGTTCCCCCTTCCCTACGCGCTGCCCCCCCTTCCCTACGCGCTGTTCCCCCTTCCCTACGCGCTGTTCCCCCTTCCCTACGCGCTGCCCCCCCTTCCCTGCGCGCTGCTCCCCTTCCCTACGCGCTGCTCCCCTTCCCTACGTGCTGCTCCCCCTTCCCTACGCGTCACACACGACTTGCCCACACATGTTCCCATCACCCCTCTCCTCCCTTCCCTTTCCTCTCCTCTCTTCCCTTTCCTCGCTGTCCACCTCCTTCCCTTCCCTGTCTTCGCCTTGCCTCCCCTCCCACTCATCCCCACTCGCTTCAGTCCCGCATTCGCTCCTGTCGTTCTCTTCCCTCCCGTCCCTCCTTTCCCTCTCCGGTTCTCGTCGTCCGTCCCTCGTTCGCATCGCTCACTCGATCCGTCGCGCACTCCCCCCATCGCTCGAATGAAGGCACCGTCCACACAGGGCAACCGCCTTGCATCGGGCCTGTTGCTCACACACTTACATGTGACATTCACTCCCGTTCCACACACTCACTCCTTTCCGCTCCTCTCTCTTTCCCCATGTCCTTCCCTCCGTTTCCCCTCTTGCCCCTTCCCCCCCTTTCCCGTGTCCTTCCCTCCGTTTCCCACCTTGTCCCTCCCTCCACATCCCCCTGCCTTTCCCTCCGTTCCCCCCCTTGTTCCTCTCTCTCTCTTTCCCTGTCTCCGTTTCCCACCTTCCCCCTCCCTCCCTTTCCTCCATTCCTAACTGCTCCTACCCTCCCCTCCTTCTCATCACTCGTGTTTTCCGTTCTTCTGATCTCCGCCCTTATTCCCACACCCCACCCCTCCCCGTCACCCACACACGTCGCATGCACATACCACTTACATCTTCCCTCCTCCCACCTCCCCTCCTCCCACCTTCCTTTGCTCCTACTCTCCCTTCCCTCTGTCCCGCGCACCTCTCTTCCGCCATCTCTCCGCCCTTCTCTCACTGAACCCTCTCCTCCTTGTTCTCCCCCACTCTTTGCTTTCTTCTCATTTCATCTCTCTTCGCTTCCCTGTCCTCTACTCCATGCCCTTCACATCTCTTTATATCCCACTCCTCTCTTCCCTCTACCCTTTCCTTCTCGCTGCCCGTATCCGCTCGCTTGTTCTAATTCCAGGGTCTTCTCAAGTTGCGCCCGACTTACGCCTCACGAAAAGGATGTGCAGCGCCACAACTCTCCTTCCGCAGTTGTGAACTGGAAGAGCGATAATGGGCACGAGATGGATTATATATTTTTTCATTAGGGGAATAACTGACTTGACACTGTCTCATCTGCTTGGTTTATGTCCCCTTTTTCGCTGGCATAAAGTATATGCCAGTGTAAGGAATTTTCTCGGCATTCCTTACGGAGCCCGACTACATCGCGTACAGCAACAGCCGTTGTTCGCCCGTTACTGCTAACGGGGCTTCGCCGACTTCGCGCGCACTGTTTCACCAAACCTCGCACTGCTAGCCTGGCCGTGTCGGCCTACGCTTCGGGACTAGCCCGAGCCTCGCTTCCAGCGTAGCACTAGCTAGCTCGCACGCGCCGCGTTACCGTTTGCATGTTTCGCATATAAATGTTCGCTCATGCCTTCGCTCACATTTTGTACTCGTTTGACACCTTAGTGCAATTCTCGCTACTTCGATTCATTGCACCCGTAACACTTGGTATTCAGAGCCCCTTTCTTTCGGACTGCGCATCTCCGCACCCCAGAAAATCAACTTTTGATTTTTCACTCGAAGGGACTCACGTACCTTAGCACCTAGGAGCCGCTGTCCTCGCGTTCTCTCGTAAACGCGTGCAGCCACGACTGCGCCTAGACTAAGACGAGCCGACGCCCTTCGAAATGGCTGAACATATCGACGTCACGACTCTCACGCAGGAGCACTTGAACGATCTGCTGCGACAAATCCGCGAGAGCGCCGAGGAAATCGCGACGCTGACGGCAGAACGCTTGTCCCTGCAAAACGACCTCACACGGGCACAATCCCAAGCACCTGGCACTCCGATTCAGCCCGCACCACAGACATCAGAGCACGGAAGTGTGGGGCAACCCGCGAGCGCTGCAAGTGATGGCGTCGTCCGCCATGACGGAGACGACGACCACGGCACGACACACCCCGACGCGACGAATGCGGCCAGGACTCAACCTCAAGTCACAATTTCAGTGCCGGCCGGCGAATCAACTCTTCCGTCGCCAATGCCGCTAAAGCCGCAGCGTCCGCCATGCTTTGACCCAAGTCAGCGGGGTGGTCCTACCGTTCAGGCGTGACTCTTCACGTTGAACATCTTCTTCGACGCGAACTACGTCTCGGAAGATTCGGCGAAAATTCGCTACGCCGTGTCGTTGCTGCGAGGACCCGCCATGGACTGGTGGCGCGTCATCGTCACGAAGCCGGTGGACTACGCGACTCTACCGACACGGGAAGGACAAACCGGACCCTGGGCGCCGTCGTATTTCGTGGAGGTGCCCCAGTATCGCACGTGGGACGCGTGGTCCGCAGGTCTACGCGCTCGTTTCGAGCCAATCGCGGCTTCGATCGCGGTGCGACAGAAGCTCCGCACTTGGCGCCAACTCGGTTCCGTCCAAGATTACACGAGCGGATTTCTGGCGCTATGCGAGCAGGTGGGATATATGCACAAGAGCGAGCGCATCGACCGCTACATCGGCGGCCTGAAGCAGGACATCGCTCAGGAAATCCAGCTTCGCGGCGTCACCGACTTTCAAGAAATTCTCGCTATGGCGGAGAAACTTGATTTCTTCCGCCGACCGAGACCGGGGTCCTACAGAAGCAGCCATTGGGGACATCGGCCTCGTGGGACGAATGAGGGCGCCACGATACGTGCCGTCGCCGCAAATGCCGCTGCCGCACCGTTCAAAGGGCGCTGCTTTGCGTGCAATCGGCCAGCACATCGCAAGAGCGAATGCCCGGAAAACGCTAAGGGAAAGGGGGAAGCTGAGCAGCAGAAACAGACCAAGCAGCAGGGAAACGCTGGGAGTCAGTAGCAGACGGGCCCTCTGTGAAGAAATGAGGAATGAAGAAGAGAGAGGAGTTCACTAGCAAACATTGGGATACATATAGCAAACCCTAAAAGGGTTGTACTCACTATAGAGTACCCCACTGCAGACTAGAGAAACATAATATTCTGACACACCCCCATAGTCAAAGTGGGGTGTAATCAGCACAACAAGCAAAGCAGAACAAGCTCAGGGTGGATCACAATGTCACCACACATTCTGAGCACAAGTACAAGAAGCAACAGTTTAAAGTTCACAAATGTAAGCAAAGCTAGAGGCTATCGCAGAGGGCAAGTGTGGAGGAGGAGGGACTATGAGAGGAGAGGAGGTAGTGGGCGGCAGCTGAAGCTGCTGGCACACGGCGCAACTGGAGCAACTGGCACACGGGCAACTGGAGCAACTGGCACACTGGCAACTGGAGCAACTGGCACACGGGCTACTGGAGTAACTGGCTCCGCGGCTAACTCTGAGCGGCAGGAGCAACGGACTCACGTGCGACTGGAGCAACGGGCTCACGGGCGACTGGCGCAACGGGCTCACGGGCGACTGGCGCAACGGTCTCACGGGCGACTGGAGCTGCGGGCTTCACGGCGGCCACCCCCTTCAACCTCCCCAAACTATCCCACCCCCATTTCACACACCCCCTACTGCACCCGTAGGTTCACTCACACCCCACCCCCTAGCACCACTCCGTCGACTCCCACACACCCACCCCCCTCAGCGGCAGCTGCAGCAGTGGGAGACAGAGGAGGAGGAGGAGCAGGGGAGACCACACACCCGCCACCTCCTACTCGCCACCCCCAGGCCCTAACACAGGGCAGGGCGGGACGGCGGGTAGGGAGGGTACAGGGGGGGGGGGGGGGCGACGCGCGGCCTCCCAGGGCGCCAAAACAGGCGGCAGAAGGGGCGGCGCTCACCCCCTTCCCCCAGGTGCGCCCCCCTCAGGTCGCCTCGACAGGCGACGGGAAAAGAGGGGGGGGCGGTGCACGTGCCCCCGGTGCGCCGCGACTGGCGACGGAGCATGGCCGGGGCGGGGCCGGGGCAGGGTCGAGGAAGGGCCGAAAGGGGCGGCGACGGGGCCGCTAGGGTCGGCGACGGGGCCGATAGAGGCGGCGACGGGCCCGCTAGGGTTGGCGACGGGCCCGCTGGCGGCGGCGACGGGGCCGATAGGGGCGGCGACGGGGCCGTTAGGGGCGGCGACGGGGCCGCTGGCGGCAGCGACGGGGCCGATACGGGCGGCGACGGGGCCGCTAGGGTCGGCGACGGGGCCGCTGGCAGCGGCGACGGGGCCGATAGGGGCGGCGACGGGGCCGCGAAGGGGCCGCGAGGGGCCTGAGAGGTCGGCGACGGGGCCGCTGGCGGCGGCGACGGGGCCGATAGGGGCAGCGACGGGGTCGCGAAGGGGCCGCGAGGGGCCTGGAAGGGCGGCGACGGGCCGCGAAGGGGCCGCGAGGGGCCTGAAAGGGGCGGTAACGGGGCCGCGAAGGGGCCGCAAGGGGCCGAGAAGGGCGGCGACGAGGCCGCGAGGGGTGGCGACGGGGCCACTAAGGGTCGCGCGAGGGGCACGCCACGGGGTGTGCAGAGCACAGAGTAGCAGCGGAAGCAGTTAGGTGGGCCCACAGGCCAGGAGCGTAGATGCTCTGATAGCATGTAAAGAAATGAGGAATGAAGAAGAGAGAGGAGTTCACTAGCAAACATTGGGATACATATAGCAAACCCTAAAAGGGTTGTACTCACTATAGAGTACCCCACTGCAGACTAGAGAAACATAATATTCTGACACCCTCTACTGACAGGTCACGCCGCTCGCCCGACCCAACCGACCCTCACCGAGTGATTGTGCCGGTTCACGCAATCGACCACACTCGGCCGAATAAGGAGGGGACTACGGTAGACAGCCCCATACTGCTTAGTGGGAAAATCGGGACGGACTTAGTTAAAATCTTCGTAGACGGGGGAGCCAGCCACAGCCTCATCAACACCGCTACAGCACGAAAACTGCGACTGCCACTGGACAAATGTTTACCTGAGATCGACGCACGACTGGTAGACGGCACGTCGCTGGCGATACGGGAACGCATAGACCGGGTTCGGATTCGATGTGGGGGTAACTTCACGTTTAGCCAGGAAATGCTCGCAACGACCCTCGACGGAACCGATATTTTACTCGGGCGTGATTGGCTGCGACGACACAATCCGCGAATCGACTGGACGACAGGTGACTGCACCGTGCAGGTGAACGGTAACAACATCGCCCTACCTCGCTGGGGCTCGCCTGAGTCTTCGTGCGTGCGTGTCAACGCGATCACGATGAAACGCGCCGTAGTGGCAGGAGCTGACGTGTACGCGGTCGACATTCGGGAAGCCGAGGCAGCAGACAAAGGAGGGGATTTACAGAAACTGCTGGCCGACGTACCAAGTGACCTGGCAGCACTGTTGAAGCAGTACAGCGACATTTTCCCGGACGATTTACCGACGGGACAGCCACCTCAGCGACCGCACGACCACAGGATAAAGTTAGAACCGGGGGCACAGCCAACAGTACAGCGACAATTCCGACTGACCCAGCCCGAACTGGACGAACTGAGGAAGCAGCTCGATTACCTGCTCGAGAAGGAATTCATTCGCCCTAGTTCGTCGCCTTTCGCAGCACCGATACTGTTCACACCGAAAAAAGATGGGGGATTTCGCATGTGCATAGACTACCGAGCACTGAACAGGGTTACCATCAAATCCCGTTACCCCATCCCGCGAGCCGACGAACTGATCGACCAACTGCGCACAGCCCGGGTTTTCTCGAAAATTGACCTCCGAGGGGGTTACTGACAAGAAGTGAACGAGAGAATCGGTGAACTATGAACGAAGTGAGTACAAATAGGAAACCCTAACTGGGTTGTACCCCCTATGGGATACCCCACTATAGCCTACATAAATGAGTAAGCTATAATGTTCTGACACACCCCCATAGGCAAAGTGGGGGAGAACAAGGGGTCACAAGACCAGTCAAGTAAAGCAAAGCAAAGCTCAGGGTGGATCACAAAGTCACCACACATTCCGAGCACAAGTTCAAAAGGCCAGAAGGCCAGTTCACATGCAAGATCATATATAAAGATATACAAGAGTCAAGCAAGTAAGAACAAGAGTATATATAGGTGAAGGTACAAGCAAGGTCAAGAAGTGAGCAAGTGAGGC